CCCTGTTTTTGAGAAGCACATATTAAATCTCTTTAAGTGCACACTTATTGTTTTGTTTTGTCTGTGCCAAAATGAGTAATAGTAGGCTCTCAACGTTTGCTTTTAGTGGTTTTATTGTAAAAGACATTTGTCTATTGTTTGAAGTTAATGTTAACTATTTTCATATGGGTACTTGGACCCTCTTATGTTGCAGAGAACCTGGGGCGGAACAAAAGTTCAAGGATATTAGCAATGCATATGAGGTAACACCATGCTTTTGGGTTTGTGTTTGGTCTGTGGAAGTTGGACCATGATCCAATTCTTTGATCTAATTAGTTGTTATTTCTTCTGCAGGTCCTGTCTGATGATGAAAAACGATCCTTGTATGACAAATATGGAGAGGCTGGACTTAAAGGCGCTGGCGTGGGCACAGGGGTGAGTATCATTTTTATCATGATGAGGAAAATGAATTCCTTTATAAATTTTATCTCAGCTACCGTCTCACACGGGATAAACTTGGTTATATCAGGACTTTAGCAATCCTTTTGATCTCTTTGAGTCCCTATTTGAAGGGATGGGCGGCATGGGTGGGATGGGTGGTATGGGGGGAAGAGGGTCTAGGAGTAGAGCAGTTGATGGCCAGGACGAATATTACAACCTCATCTTGAACTTCAAGGAAGCAGTTTTTGGGGTTGAGAAGGAGATTGAAATAAGTCGATTGGAGAGCTGTGGAACTTGTAATGGTTCAGGCGCTAAACCGGGTACCACTCCAACCAGATGCAGCACCTGTGGTGGGCAAGGCCAGGTGGTCTCATCTGCAAGGACCCCATTAGGTGTCTTCCAGCAGGTTATGACTTGTTCTTCGTGTGGTGGAACTGGGGAAACGTCCACCCCTTGCAACACATGTTCTGGGGATGGTCGAGTCAGGCGGACGAAGCGGATTAGTCTGAAAGTTCCAGCTGGCGTGGACTCTGGCAGCCGACTAAGAGTTCGGAATGAAGGTAATGCTGGTAGACGGGGTGGCTCACCTGGCGACTTATTTGTTATTATTGAAGTTATCCCAGATCCCATCCTCAAACGTGATGACACCAACATTTTGTACACTTGCAAAGTGTCCTACATTGATGCAATTTTGGGGACGACCATTAAGGTTCCAACAGTGGATGGCATGGTTGATTTGAAGATCCCTGCCGGTACCCAACCGAACACGACCCTTGTCATGGCTAAGAAAGGTGTTCCTCTTCTAAACAAAAGCAACATGAGGGGTGATCAGCTGGTCCGAGTGCAGGTTGAAATACCAAAACGATTAAGCAGCGATGAGAAAAAGCTCATTGAGGAACTTGCCGACCTAAGCAAGGGCAAGGCTGCAAGCAGGAGATAGTTGTTTTGTGCTCATTTGTCATATCTGTCGTTTATTCAAAAATTCTCTTATGTTGGTGCATCGTTTTGAAATCTTGATGCACATGTAGGTGAAATCAGCTGTTCATCGTCAGTTGAATTGTGGTGGGGAAACGTATTTGGATGTTGGTTGTCGTAGGCAAAAAGAATTATCTTGTGATAATTTTGTCACCCTAACAAAAGTACGAAAATGAGTTGCAGATGAAAGTGATAAATTGAGGATTTACCCCGGTATTATTCTGCACTAAAAATTAGCTTTACATTATAAATTACTCTTTGGGATTGGAGTAAACTTAGTAGATGTTTTCTTGTATTTTTCTTTTATAATCTGGATACACAAGAAAAATACATTTTGCAATTTAACCTATTCTCAAATTTTTTTTTTCTTCTATTATTATTATTTTTTGGCAGTCGTATGTTGTTTGAAACTACTTTCGTTCGTTACCAGAATTTCATGTTCTTGTTTGTTTTATGGTATGGTGGTTGCTGCGATACACTTCATGAAGCTACTGTCATTTCAAAAACTTCGATATTTCAAGCAAATAATTTGAATCTCTCAGCAGACTTTGGTCTCTGGGCGTCATTTATTTGTTTTCTCCTTTTCTCGAGAAAATTGTAGAATTTATCCTTAAGAATGCATGACTCTGCATCATTAATATTTTTTTGCTAATATAATTATTTAATTAAATAGTATATTAATTAAAAATAAAGAATAAAATTTTAGACTCATATATTTTTAAGAAATATTTGTCTCTTTTTTCTTTTATTCTGAGCCAACGTATTAAATGAATACACCGGCTGAAATCTTAAATTGAAATGACATCCATTGCATGCTCAGAAGCCACCAATACGGTTGTCACAAACTGAAGATAATTTCAAAATAAAAGCGCCATCGCCAATAAATGTAATTCATGAAACCTTTTTTTTTTTTTTTTTTTTTTTTTTTTTTTTTTTTTTTTTTTTGTTGTTGTTGTTTCCCTCAACCAACCTATCAAAATCATTGCAAGATGATCCTTGAACACTAGTAGCTTTAACTGCCTTCTCCTTCTATTCCAAAGCCTTTTCCCTCGGTTTCTTCCCCAAATAGCCTTCATCATCTCCTTAACGAGGGCAGCAACCTCGTCACGCTTAACATCATTGTTTACCTCCACCCCAATCCCCCAAGTGGTGCACGCAAAACGACAGTTCGTTTGCTGATCGGCAAAGAAAGGCCAGCAGATCACAGGAGCACCGGCACAAACAGCTTCAATAGTAGAATTCCATCCACAATGTGTGAGAAAAACGCCAACAGAAGGATGACACCACTTTGCTAACAAACCTCTATCCTTATCTTCAAAAAATTCTTCAGACAAAGTTGCTAAATCAGATCCCATCACAAACATCAGGCCTAACTATCCACAAAAAATAGTGGTTGCTCTTTGCGAGGCCCCGAGCAAATTCTCTTAGATTTTCTTCTGTCATTGTGGTGACGCTTCCATAGTTCACATAGACAACTGAATTCGGCTCTCTTTTATCAATATATTAGAATCTCACATTGACTAGAGATATTAGCATGATCTACTTAATAAGGTGAATGTAATTCTCTTTTAATAAGCCGATTTTGTTAGGATGAGTCGGACCCAATATCCTTTGATTTTTGTAAAACGGTATCGAAGCAGGCTCAGTTTTACAATGTTGGGTCCTTAATATTGATTTATTCGCAGCGGTTTGGCATGGTCCACGCTGTGTGTGAGGGGGTGTATTAAAATCTCACATTGGCTAGAGATATTGGCATGATCAACTTAATAAGGTGAAGACAATCCTATCCTAAAAAGTCGATTTTGCTAGGTTGAGTTAGGCCCAATATCATTTGATTTCTGTAAATAGTATCAGAGCAGATCCAATTTTACAATGGTGGGTCCCCAAATATCGACTTATTCGCAGTGGTTTGGCATAGTCCATGATGTGCGTGAGGGGGCGTATTAGAATCCCATATTGACTGAAGATATTGGCATGATCCACTTAATAAGGTGAAGGCAATCCTCCTTTAACAAGCCAGTTTTCTTATATTGAGTTAAGTCCAATATCCTTTGATTTCTATATAACTGAGCCTGCACTGATACCAAAGAAAAAAACCAGAAATATCACTCAAGATGGTAAAAAGTATTACTCATGTCACTGCACTAAAAAATAAACAATTATCATTCAATTAATAAAGAGAAATTAAAAAGTCATAATAACACTTAATTATTTAGAATGACACAAAAAATAGATATGCGCAAAACCATAGCAAATTATGTACTTTTCTCATTATGTAAAACCCAACAAAAATATAAAAAAATCTATCTTGGCTGGGTAGATGACAACGTAGAAAGGGTGGGATAACATCAAGACGACATCAGGAGGCCGTGGGAGAGCTTTCGTGGTGATGAAGAGGCTTGGATGCAGAAGTTATTGGGGCTTTCTTTTAAGTTGTTTGTTTCTTTTGTTTGCTCCTTTTGCTATTAAAAAATAAACAATTGTTATTTAATTAATAAAGAGAATTAAAAAGTCATGATAACACTTAATTATTTAAAATGACACAAAAAATAGATACGTACAAAACCATAGCAAATGTACTTTTCTCATTATGCAAAACCCAACAAAAATATTAAAATTCACCTTGGATGGGCAGATGACAGTGTAGAAAGGGTGGGATAACATCAAGACGACATCGGGAGGCGATGAGAGAGCTTTGGCAGTCACAAAGAGGCTTGGATGGAGAGGTGATCGCGGCATTCTTTTGAGTTGTTCATTCCTTTTGCTATTGGTTTCTATGTTTCAACACAATTCCTTTTTGTTGTGACATATTAGTCGGGTTTCTTCAACAATACTAAGCTCAAGGTTCTTGAAAAGCATGCACCGCTTTCATGGGACCTGATTTGAAAATCAAATAAAAAATCGTATGAAGCTTAAATTAAGATGCACCAGCCGGGAATCAAAACCCGAGTCTGTACAGGGTACTATACCACATGACCACTGGTGCGATTGAGTTTTGTGGAGGAAACTACTTAAATAAATTAAGAGAATACGTCAAGTAAACAAAAGATTGACCGCGCGCTGCAGCTAACATTTTTGCGTTTGATGACACGAGTCTAAATCATTATAATATAATTTTTTTGAACGGAATGCATCAATACAAATGACCCCTAATTATATGAGATAATATCCTCAACCTCAACCGGCTCCATCAGTAAAATCTGATGAAATTAGAGGAGAAAGGCTTGTGCTGAGATCCGAAGATAGAAAAATTTCTTAGTACACTAATAATAGAGCACATGTAAGGCTCGTTTTGACAAGATATCTACAATCGATAGAGGCATCCGATCGATTGAGAGCACATAACATGTAGCATAGAGAAATCAATAGATCACATAACATACAAGTGATAGAGGCATCCACCAAACCAAGGACGCGTCGAGAGAAACAGTCAAGAAATCCAACCACCACCCTCCTATCTGAGTTTGATCTGGCCCAACGGGACGACGACGCCCAACACCGCCACCACCATTGAGAAGCCCGTGAAGAGGCGAGTTAGAGGACCAAGATTTGTGGCCGGGAGTCCGGCGACACGTCCGGAGGAGGCCCGAAACTTTGGCTAGCTTTGCACACCACTTTCTCTCTCTACTCGACTCTCCCTAAAAAAAGTTAGACTATTAGAGATACAGAAAATTAAAATGCATTACAATAGAAAATGTTACATATAACAATTAATTGTTTAGCTCTTTTAAAAAAAATAATAATAATAATCTTTAGCTTTTGATTGTGTCTATTGACACTTTATTTTTTACTTTTCACACACCTCTTTTTAACATTACTAAATTACTCATTAATAAAATTACTTTTAAGGATAACAATATTTTAAAATAAATACTCATTACACACTCCACCATTAAAAAAAATAAAAATTAAAAATTTACTCTTGAGAGTGCATGAGTCTAGACCTTTACTCTTACTCTTGATAAATGCCCTTTTGTTAGTGTAATTATTTAACTAAAAATGTTATGAATTAAGAGTAAATGATAAAAATTCTGACTCATGCACTTTCAATAGGTATTTATCAAAATTACCTTTAAAAAAATACATATTGCTTTCTAAAAATTATTATGTCCTATTTTTTTCAAAAGAATAAGGATGAATTCTAACGAAAAATAACATTTCTATGAAAAGGTACAAATTTAAAAATTCTTCTTTTTTTATTCAATTTTTATAGGTTATACCGTTAGTTTTGAAAATTTTGTGATTTGTTAAAATTCTTTTGAAAAGAATAAATTTCTCCCTCTCATTTTATTACTTGATGTATATTGAGAGATCATAATTCGTATTTTTTACTGACTGCATCTGCTTTGAATATAATCAATTAATCCACTACTATGATTGTCGGCAATTTCTGATGAAAGTGAAAAAGCACTCACGGAATTCGTAATGGGCTGCATATCCCTTGCATCCTGTCCTGCGATATCAGCATTACGTTTCTTGATAACGAAGTTTAACAATCATTTGTCTCTTTTATATATTTTATAATGAATTGTTTTTTTTTTCTTTCTAAAAAACGACAATTACTCTTTTGCTGTAATACAAAATACAGATCCCTTCAGCAGGCAAAAAAGATTTTTTTAAAAAAAATTTTAAGATTGGTGTAATAAATAAAATGAGAGTAGTTTGAGAATGTGTGTGTGTAAAAAATTGAATTTGGAGATTTAATCGCAAGAATTTTTTTTTTAAAATTTTAAGTGGGGTGTAACAATTAAAATGAGAAGTGATTTAAAAATGTGTGTAAAAAGTAAAAAAAAATAAATGGGGTGTTAATAGACGTGCCTTTCGCTTTTTAAATTTCACGAAAGCTGAAAAAAATAAAAATTCCAGAAAATTGCATTATGACAACAGCAAAGAATCGCCCTTGGCCTGCAATTAAAATATAATTGTGAAAGTTCGGATACTTTACCTAAAAAAAAAAAAAAAAAAAGTCAGGATAAGTTCGGATACTTTACCTAAAAAAATATATCTTGCAATGACATATGATCCCATTCTAATCATTGATAAGAGAAAAAAACACCATCCCATCAAACTCTAAGCATAATTTCTTTTTCTTTTTTTTTTCCTCCGGATTTTCGGTTGCTTCAAACTCATAGATGTAACCAAGTATAAATTGTATCAACAAGTGGGTAAATTTAAGGGATAACAACAAAAACCTACTATGTTTGTATATCGAAATGAATGGTTCTATCTTGCGATTTCAAAAATGATGAGGTTATCATCATCTTTTTTTTTTTTTCTTTTCTAATCACACAAAATTCACATAGTAGTGTCAGATTTAGTCAAAATTAAGGGCTGGTTTTTGAAAATATAAATCCTAAGGATATCTCTAATTTTCATTTTTTTTTTTTTTTGCTTTGAGAATAATTAACCCTGATTATTTTTGAACATTTGAGTTTTGTTTAAAATTGTTGTCCTTAAAACCAAACACATTGTTATAAGTTTATTCTTAATCTATTAATCTAACATGAGGTGCGGAATTGTAATTAGAAAAACCAAGGGAATAATCTTAATTTTTTTAAAAGATAAGGTGGATTCTCATATTTTTATTAAATACAGGGATAGTTTTTTTGTTACTATCCCCAAATTTAATCTATTGCTTTGGTAGTTCCTTCCATTTTTTCCATTATGGTTAACAGTGAAATTGCAAAAAGAAATTACAAGGAACGATGTGAAAAGACAGTGTGCAAAATGCACATAATTAAATCCTGATCAGTTCATATATCATATATGTAGTAGTGGTAGCAATTCGTGTCACGTGTCGTGTTTTAATCGTTTATTTTTAAATTTACAGTCAAGCTGAAAACGACCCGTGACATGAAATTTTTTAAAAACCGCAACACGACCACTTTACTGATTGACACAACACGACACGAAAATGATCTGAGACACGAAATTGACCTATGAACCCGAAATTGATACGAAAATTGTATACTTTTATTTAGTTTTTTACATATTAAAAATAACTTAAAATTCATAACATACTAAAATACAATAACATCCATTGAAATTAAGTAAATAATAGTATAAGATTTTGAGTATAACTATCATGATATCACAAGTTCATAATAAAATAGAAATTATGTAATGAAAAATATATGTATTTTTTAATTTTTTACGAGTTTCGTGTCGTATTCGGGTTAGACGGGTCCAACCCGAAATTGACCCGTGTTTTTCGTGTCAATTTCAGGTCGACCAAATTCTGACCCGAACTTTTTTTTTTCTCAACCCTAACCCGTAAAATTCATGTCGTTTTCGAATCGCATTGTCGTATCGCGACTCATATTGCCGGCCCTATATAGTAGCACATCTAGTCAATATTCTAACCAAACTCAAGCCTAAATTTTAGCATTTATCACCAGACAAGAGAGCCTCCTTAATCAACTTGTCAAAATTAATGTAAGACGAACCCCCAACATCAGTAGATTCAACTGCTTTCTTCTTCCATTCCAAGGCCTTTGCCCTCATCTTCATCCCCTTATCTCCTTCAATCATCTCCTTCACGAGCCCCGCAACTTCGTCACGTTTAACATCGTTGTTAACCTCCATTCCAAACTCCCAATTCACGCAGGCATACCGGCAATTCGTTTGCTGATCTGCAAAGAAAGGCCAACAGATCACAGGCACACCAGTAGAAACAGTTTCCATCATAGAATTCCATCCGCAGTGTGATAGGAAAACCGCAACAGACGGATGTTCCAACACTTTTTGTTGTGGACACCAGTTTGCTAGCATTCCCCTATCCTTAATCTCCTCAAAAAACTCTTCAGGCAAACTTACTGAATCATTTCCCTCCACCACATCAGGCCTAACTATCCACAAAAAATAGTGTTTGCTTTTTGCGAGGCCCCAAGCAAATTCCTTAAAATGTTGGTCTGTCATTGTGGTGACACTACCATAGTTTACATACACAACAGAATTTGGTTCCCTTTTGTCAAGCCATTCTAGGCATTTTGGGTCTTCTTTCCACAGGCTTGAAGAAAGGGAGTTGAAATTGCTTTCGGGGACGTGCCTGCCTAGCAAAGGAAGTGGACCTATTGTGTAGATGGTGCGGAACATGGCTGAGATTGCTTGTAAGGCTTCATGTTCAAATTCATCAAATGTGTTGAAGATGATTGCGGAGGATTTTAGGCAGTTTCTTGCTTCTGAGCCCATGAAATCGAACATCGTCTCGTCGCATGACATTGTTCTCATGAAACTTGGCAAGTCCTTGAGCCGAACATTTTTCATACCCGGGATCCAGTCAGCGGGTGTGTCAAGTGTTCCATCTTCCATGAAGCTTTCGTCTGACACAAATTCTATAATTAAATCACATATGTTCTAAAAAAAACCATATATATATATATATTTATTTCAATACGCATAGTAAAGGTACGTAATTTGAATAATAGTGAGAAATAGACAAAATTTTCTATGCGCCCGTGATATGTGAAAAGCCCCATTACTATCGTTACAGGATGATTGTGAACAGAAAGAAAAAAAAAAAAAAAAAAAAAAAAAAACAGCTAACATGGGCATTTTGATAAAATGCCTCGTTTCCTATCCAAGTTGTTGCATTAATTAAACTTCGACAGTTTTTTTCTTTTTTTTACTAAGACTTGAATCCGAGACTCAATACATAGTAAGTATCTGACATGCCCACTAAACACTAATTGAGCTCGACTAAAAGTGAAGTTTCAGGCTGGTTTAATTCGTTAATTTGAGTTGAGATATAATTTTATATGAAAATTTTTTATTGTGATAAAAAAATTAAATGTGACTATTTTTAAAAAAATTTTACTGTAATAAAATTTAAATTCTAAACTCGAATAAGTAAAATGAACGGTGCCTCAATTAACAAGCTTACCGTTAGTAATTTTTTATTTATTTTTTCGTTACATGTACCAAGTTGAACTATAAAGTCTTATTTATTTCACCGATTCGAGTTTAGAATTTAAATTTTATTATAGTAAAAAATTTTTAAAAATAATCATATTTAACTTTTTTATTATAGTAAAAAATTTTCATATAAAATTATATCTCAATTTAAATTAAAAATTCAAATTAATAAACTGAATGGGCGTAAGTATACTTACATGTATGCATATGTATGTAAGTAAACTCGTAGAAAAGCTTAACAAACATAAAATGCAGTCCAAGAAAACAAGTACCCCACCTTTGAAAGGAATAATGCCTCTATTAATAAGTTCATCAAAGTGCAAGTACCCCATAAAGCTACAAGCAGAGGCAGTCCAAAACTGAACCTCTGGAATGCCCAATTCCTCACCAGCCTTGATCGCAAAGCTCATCACTCCATCCGAGATTATGCAAGTCACAGGAGGCACTTTTTCAGGTGCCAATGAGTTCAGCTTCAGCAGCAACTCCTTAAATGGAGCTAGACAGTTTTTTCTGGTTGAATCACACAGCGCTGGGACATCTTGGGTCGCATCTCGATCCGACCGTGGCAAACCTTCCGGTATGGCCTCAAACCGGAAGTCCGGTAGGCCCTTGACGGAGTCCGCTCCTCTGGACCGGATCAGACGGTTGTGGTTGAACTCAGTGTTGACAAAGGTTACGTGGAAGCCTCTAGAGTGTAGAAGCTTGGCTAGTTGCATCATGGGGTTGACATGGCCTTGTGATGGATATGGGACACAAACTACATGAGGTTTGCTTGAATCAACTGAACCCATCCTTAAGCAGATTCTAAAAGAAAAAACAAGGCAGAAATGAAAGACAATTATTCTAAGAATTGTGAGAAGTTTGCTCATAGTTTTTAGTATTTATTAAGGAAGTTTGTGTTCAAATGAATGAGGACAATGATTGTGTTCAATTTCTCTGTTGATTCTGTTAAAAAAAAAATGCAGGTTTTAGAGTAATTTCATTCTGCAATGATGTCTACAGCTAGCTGTACGCAACTTTCTTTGCCGTTGGTTGAGCGCTATTAGGAGTGTTAAAAGAAGAGTTGTGTCAAATTCTCAGTGAGGTGACAGCTAAAAATATATTTAAATAAAGATAGCAGATATGGATTTAAAATGGTGAAATGTATCCCATTTATGTCATATTCGATGCAAATATTAATTCTAATGCTACATTTAACGCAAGTTGGAAGATTTGATTGATTCCATCATTTGATGCTCGGATACAAAAGGTTAATCCCTCAAAAAGAAAAAAATAAATAAGATGAATTTAAAATGTTGTACTACTTTTATCATAAATGTCAGAGTGATGCTGAAATGTTGTCCTATATATATTTTAGGGGAAATCTCTGGTAGGGGCAGTATTTTCCCTCTACGGTAGGGTGTGTAATAAAAACCACTTGATTAATTTAACAGTTAAGATTGAAGATATGCACCAAAATTATTCTAGACTATATTACACATGATTTCATCCAAATTAAACTAGATGTTTAGTAAAGGATTCGTTTTATTATCATGATTCGTGATTTATTATAATATTTTTTCTCATAAAAAATACACATAAATTAAAATTATTCAAATCATATTAAATTTTGGTATAATTAATTTTTTTTATTTTTTTTATTTATTTTTTTTCATGTTGAGCCCATTAAACAACAAATCAACATGAACAACTTGTAAAAATTAAAAAGGGAGAAAGAAGAAAATAGATTAAGATTTGAGATGAATTAAAATTAATAGGTTAATAGTTTATATAAATTAATAAATAGGCTAAATTATTATTTTTGTCCATAATTTATTTGGTTATGAACCATAACTTAACAAGTTATTATCCATAATTTCCATAACTTATTTAGTTATGAACTATAACTTAACAAATTTATTCATAACTTATCTGATTATAAATTATAACTTGATAAATTATAACTTATTAATTTTTATAACTAAAAATTGACTTATATAATTTCTTAACCTTTCATGTTAGTCTATTTTCTACTATTTCCCGATTAAAAACTTGCTCAACGGAGCATTAATTTGACCTGAAGCTAATTTAACAAATGGACTTTAACTTGATTGAGAATTTTTGATATAATAAATATACTAAATTATTATTTTTGTCCATAACTTGTTTGGTTATGAATCATAACTTAACAAATTATTATCCATAATTATCCATAATTTATTTAGTTATGAACTATAACTTAATAAATTTGTCCATAACTTATCTGATTATAAACTATAACTTGATAAATTATAATATATTAATTTTTATAATTAAAAATTAACTTATATAATTTCTTAACCTTTCATTAGCCTATTTTTTACTATTTTCCGATTAAAAACTTGCTCAACGGAGCATTAATTTGACCTGAAGCTAATTTAACAAATGGACTTTAACTTGATTGAGAATTTTTGATATCCTGTTTGGCAAATAAGAATTTGGTTTTGGATTGGTACTTTGGGGAACAAATGATCTGAGTTTGGCACTTGAACTCGTTTTGGAATTTGAATGTTCGGTCGTTGAAAAACTGAGAGAGAAGTTCTAATGAAGACACACGACGGTGAACCCATACCCCACGGCGGCAATGGAGGACTCCCTTCCGGCGGCAGTGCGAAGACGACACAAACCCAAACTCTACGTCGGAGGTCATCCTTCCTCCACGGTGGCAAAACTTGCTCCTCCCACGACAGTGGCGCACCCGCCCTTCTCTCGTCGCTCCCTTCCCGCACGATGGCGAGATCTTCTCTCTCTCGTTGGACGATTTCCCCACAGCCCATGGTAGCGTGACGTCCTCTCTCCATGGCGATATGATCCCTTCTATTCTTGGTCGGCGTGATCTGGACGGAGCAGAGCTTGGGGAGATCTGGGCGGAGTAGAGCTTGTCTCGCCGGAGTGGTGCTATCTGGGCGGAGCAGACCTTGGCTCGCCCGAACGGGGAGATCTGGGCGGGGCAGAAGCATGATGGCTTAGCATTCGGAAACGTAAACGTTTTTTCAATTTTTTTTAAGGCTGGATTCGGTGTGAGAGAGACTATGTACGCCCTCACTGAGATTTAATATGAAACCGTTAATCTTACCCTACCGATAGGGACAATAAAGGCGCCCTACCATAGACATGCTCTAATATCTACTATTTTACTGTTCATCGCTTTCCCTCTTTTCGTGGATTTGCAGACAAATCCTTGGTCACAACCACTGCCACGGTACCACCTCAAGAACCATAAATTCAGATCTCATTTTCTTCTTTCATTTAAGTTTTTAATTTAAATTAAGATGTGATATTATGTAAATTATAATAAAAATATTAAATATAATTATTTTTAAAAATATTTTATTGTAATAAAATTTAAATCGACCAAATAAACGGAACTCACTTCACATCATTCTGTTGCCTCTTTTTTTTTTCTTTCTTTTTCAACTTCTTTGCTGTTCTATTTGCTTTCCATATTTTCATGCCAATATCTAAAAGAAAAAAAAAATAAAAAATTCAATAAAATTTCTTGCTACTGCTTGATCTGCACAAAAGGATATTTCTAGATTGAGCTTCTTCCTCATCTTTCGTAAAGTTTATATGTTTTTCGTTTCATTTATTGCCGTTTCCATTCTTTCAAGTTCCGAGTTTTTTCCCCCAAAACCCAAAAGCCTAGATCCTGAAGTCCAGAAAACCCAGAAGCCGAAGATCAAACACAACGCCCATAAACTACCTTGCTAATAGATCTAGGAATCCAAATGACATTGAACATTGCACAAACGGAAAACACTAAAAAAGGTCCACTGAAAACCGAGCACACACATGACACATATGAGTCTTGAACATCTACAACTAGTAAATTAATATTGAGAAACTGATAGGACGAAGACCGAACAAAAAGAAAAATTCACAAATCAGAACGTCAAACAACCAAGAGGGGTGAGGCCCCTCAACACCAACGAAAGAAACGGGTAGGAAAGATGAATGGTTAGTAAACACATCTACACTACAAGACGGCTCCCCCCTCGCGCAGACCAAGACCTTCCAAGGTAAGTCGAAAATAGAGAGCGCGTTTGAAATTAATTTTAAAATAATTTTATTTTTTTTATAAAATTAAAAATAAAAATATTTTTAATTTCAGATAAAAATTATTTTAAAAAATGTGTTTAATAATTTTATTAAGATATTATTTTTAATATAAGAAAAAATTAAAATTCTATTTAGTTATATAATTTTTATTTTTAATTTAAAAGTACTTTGTTAATTCATTTAAGTCAGTACCTATTTACTGAAAAAAAGACATTCACCCAAAATTGAAAATAAAAAATGATTTAAATTTGTTTTTAATTTTTAAATTATTTTACACTAAATTGAAAATCGTTTTTAATTTCATTTTTTTTCACTTTTTTCCTCCAAATATGTTTTTTTTCTTTGATCTCTATTTTTTTATTTTAAAAAATGTAAAAAATAAAAACGGAACTGATATCAATCACGCTCCGAGAATTCAAGCCTCTGGGCAAATCTCATATTTTTCTCCCTTTATTAATTCTTGTTAAGCCGGCTACATCTTATATGGATATTTATATTTGTGTGGGGGAGGGTGTTAATTTTATTTTATTTTTTATTTTTTTGCTGATTGAGGTGGGTGTTAATTTAAAAAGTCAAAAAACAGTTTGGTGTGTGTTTTTAAATCCGTAAAAGTCAAAAAACAAGTTGCAGATCATGACTTCATAACTTAACATATCTAAAGTCAAGATTGAGTTTATTATGATGATATCATTGTAGAGCATAATCTTAAATTAGTAAAGATTACTTGTTTAATTGAATCTTATATCAGCAGATAAATTGACAAATTAAATTGATAAGGGGAATTGGCAAAGCCACGAGAGGTCGAATGGGGCGCCTAACTTTTTATTTTTATTTTTAATATTTTGAAAATAAAGAAAGATATATATCTCCTCTATTGAAATACAAGACTGACTCCGCTAATGAGAATGACATGAAAGATCTAATTTTTTGGTGTACTTAAGGGTGCAAATATCGACATTTTTATGATATTTTTGTAGAAATTTTTGTATTTTGAAAGTACCGATATAAAAATAAGGGTGTAGTATCTTTTTGTAGAATATCTTAAAATTTCTACAGATATTTCCGTAAATATTGATATTTTAACAAAAATTTTCATTTCTGAGTAAAACGTAGTGTTAAATGACAGAGTATTATAGAGGTTTTATGGAGATTTCGTGGAAATATCGATAAATTTCCACATAAATTTTGCAATTTTATATAGATATATATTTTATTTTACTTTTCAAAAAAATCTAAAAAATATAGCATGTCCAAATATATATAAAAAACTATTCAAACTCTGTCTTGATATCAATATTGTTTAAACTAAGAATGTGTTCAAAATACCTTCCAATCTCCTAGAAGCTCCTCTTTGGTATTAATAATTCATCGTCATGTATGAAACCATATATGTATGGTATATATATTATGTTGACTTTTAGCTATTTTACTTAATTTTGTGAACGCATGCTTAGTATTTATAGTATTATGATCACACTTTATCTTATATATTTAGTAAATAATTAATATTTTGATTGAAAGTTTCATTTAATTAATGTATTATTATCTATTTTAAAGTTTTTAAAGTCTCATTTAAAAATAATGTGTTTTAATATGAATTTCTATTTTTTACGTCAATTTTTATCGATATTAATATTTTTATAAAATTTAAGTATCAATATTTCCGTAAATATTGATATTTTCATCCTTAGATGTACCATTTATTGGGAATAGTTCTCAGCTTTGTGGAAAACGAATAGAAAATTACAGGTTGTTTTAGATTATGTTGAGGAGAGTCAAAGAAAGTGAATTCTTAATTGCACTTTACTTTTTGAATATCTGGATCTGTTAGTATTGTATACTT